CTTGCACTTCGTAGGGTTGAGCTTCATCCTGTACCGTCTCAGCGTCTCAAAGGTATCCCTCAGGTCCCCCACGTGATCATCTGCTCTCCGACTCTTCACCAGCATGTCATCCACGTAAACCTCCATGTTCCTTCCCAGCTGCCCTTCAAACATCTTATCCACCAACCGTTGATATGTTGCCCCCGCATTTCTCAGGCCAAAGGGCATGACAACATAACAATAGGTCCCCTTAGATGTAACAAAACTTACGCGCTTCTGGTCTTCCACTGCCAACGGTATCTGATGATAACCCTGTGAGTCGTCCATCATACTCAGCAGTTCACAACCCGCTGTCGAGTCCACCAACTGGTCAATGCGCGGTAAGGGATAATGGTCTTTTGGGCAAGCTTTGTTAAGATCCCTAAAGTCTGTGCACATACGCCACTTATTCTCTGCTTTCTTCACCATGACTTGGTTCGAAAGCCACTCTGGGAATTGGATGGGCTTAATGTGGCCAGCTTGCAGCATCTTTTCCACCTCCTTTTCAATAACAGCATCTAACTCTGCTCCAAAATGTCTCCTTTTCTGCTTGATGGGCCTCATTGTAGCATCAATGTTCAGCTTGTGTTCGGCCACCTTAGGATCGATGCCCACCAATTCCTCCGATGTGAATACAAAAATGTCTACGTACTCTCGGAGCAACGCCACCAACTGTACTTTAATGTTCTCCACCAACTCCTTCCATATCCTCGTCACTTTGGCATGTTCTCCTTCCACTAGGGCAATCTCCATTAGCTCATCTTGCGGGATCATCTCTGTCCTAGCCTCTTTCCCTCTGTTCGAGCTCTCACCCTTGACCTTGCTCGAGCCAATCTCCGTGTTCTTCCTCTTGTGACCCGCTTTCAAAACCGTTTGATAACAGGTCCTTGCCAGTCTTTGATCTCCCGCAACCTCACCAACAAGCTCACCCACCGGGAACTTCATCTTCATGCAATATGTGGAAACTGCTGCTTGAAAAGAGTTTAAGCTGGGTCGCCCCAAGATGACATTGTAAGCCGACTCCGCTCTAACGACCACAAAACGGACCGCCCTCACCTTCCTGAGAGGAGGAGTCCCCAAGTCCATGGTAAGCTGCACCTCCCCCATTGGCACCACCTCAGTGCCACTGAACCCAAATAAAGACGTCTTAATTGGTGTTATCTCCATCCCCAAGTCCATCTTCCTAAAGCATTCATAGAACATAATGTAACACCCCACTTTGATTTTACCGAAATTCTGGATTTTTTAAATATCAGTGTAAAATTTTCAAACTCATTTTCGAAAATTTAGTGGGTGTTAAACAACATTTTCATAAC